TGCCTCCATCTCAAGTATCACTTCTTCTCTGGGTAGGGTACCGCTCTCCGCTCTTCTCCCTTGATGGTCCCAGGAACCTCTGCTACTAGACTGCAAAGTTAATCACTTCCCTCCTTGCTACAAAATGTCTACCTTTACATTCCCAACCCTCACAATCAGTCCTGATAACAATTATCCACTATTGTATCACAAGAGACCTATCCTCATTTCCTTTCATCAGCCCCACCTAGACAGATTAGATACTACTCAGTGGAGATTCTACCTTTCTCCACACCCTCTGGATCTAGGTTCCTGCTTGAAAGCTTGCAAACCAGTCACTTCTTGCCTTTGTAGCCCCCTCATTTTGGGTAGCCAATGTCCAAGTTGCCCATCCCTGTCTACTCTGTGTATGGAGGGGGTGGGAATGATCCTCGCTGTAAAGATTTGTTCTCTCTTTTGAGCTACTGCATCCATAGGTGTAGGTCAAGTTAATCAAACTGTATCAGATTACTCTTTTTTTACTCTTCTTTCTTCTTCTAGTTGAGCTCTGATCATCCAGTCATTGAAGCCAGGTCAAGTTTCCATTCACTTTAGCTTCTCTATGTACAAGAGTAAGTTTCATAGTCTCTTCTGACATCCATTTTGGTCTTTTCTTTCTTTCCTGTCTTTTAAATGAACTTTTGATTTCTTCTTGGGTGATATTCTTTAAGTCATCCCACAATCCCTCTGGTGCTTAGTCATTAGTGTCTAATGCATCAAACCTGTTCTTGAGATGGTCTCTAAATTCAGGTGGGATATGATATGTTCAGGATCATATTTTGGCTCTTGTGGACTTGTTTTAATTTTCTTCAACTTCAGCCTGAACTTGCATATGAGTAATTATGATCTGTTCCACAACATGCCCTGGGCTTGTTTTGGCTGATGATATTGAGCTTTTCCACTGGGTCTTCTCACAGACGTAGTCAATTTGATAACTGTACATTCCATTTGGTAAGGTCCACATGAATAATCATCTTTTGTCTCATTTAAAAGAGGTATTTGTAATGAATAAGTTGTTGGTCTTGCAAAATTCTATCATGTGATAGCATCATTTCTATCACCAAAGCCATATTTTCCAACTACTGATTCTTTCTCTTTGTGCCCAACCTTCACATTCCAATCACCAGTAATTATCAATGTATCTTGATTGCATATTTGATCCATTTCAGGCTTAAGAAGTTGGTAGAATTCTTTAGTTTCATCATTACTGGCTTTAGTAGTTGTGTAAATTTGAATAATAGTGGCATTAACTGCTCTTACTTGTAGGCATACTGATATCATTCTACCACAGACAACTTTGTACTTCAAGACAGATATTCAGATGTTATTTTTGACAATAAATGTGATGCCATTCCTCTTCAATGTATCATTCCTGCTATCGTAAACCATTTGATTTTCAAATTCAAAATGGCCAATACCAGGCCATTTCAGCTCATTAATGCCTAGGATATGATCTTTATGTGTTCCATTGAATTTTGACCACTTCCAACCCTCCTAGATCCATACTTTGTACATTCCATGTTCCAATTATTAATGGATGTTTGCAGCTCTTCTTATTTTGAGTTGTGTCTCATCAGCAAACGAAGCTCCCCAAAGCTTTGCTCTATTCATGTCATTATGGTCAAACTCTACTTTGAAGGTGAAGCTCTTCCCCAGTAGTATTTTGAGTGCCTTCCAACCTGAGGGGCTCAATTTCTGGCACTATATCTAACAATGTTCTGCTGGTGTTACAGTATTCAATGGCTAACAACTCAGTAGTAGTCTGTCTCTTCTTCTTCCTAGTCTGTCTTAGTCTGAAAGCTATGCTGAAACCTGTCCACCATGGGTGATCCTGCTGGTATTTAAAATACCAGCAGGATCACCCATGGTGGACAGGTTTCAGCATAGCTTCCAGCATCGTAGCAGTGCACGGCCACCACAGTATGACAAACTGATGGATGAGTGATGGCAGCATTACTGCATGAGTCTACTCCTACATATATAAACCTCAATCCACTGCCATGGAGCCAATTCCGACTCATAGCGCCTCTATACAGGGTTTCCAAAAACTGTAAATCTTCATGGGAGCACACAGCCTTATCTTTCTCCCTTAGGACATCTGGTAGGTTTGAACCACTGACCTTGTGGTTAGAAGCTCAGTGCCTAACCCAAAGTGCCACCAGGGTTTCTTCCTAGGTATATAAGAGAATTGAAAACAGGTATTCAAATAAAAACCTATACATGAAATATTCATAGCAGCATTTTTCATTAACAGCCAGAAGATAGACATACAAATACCCATCAACTAACAAACATAAACAAAATGTGATCTACCCATACAATGGAATATTACTTGAGTCATAAGAAGAAACGTGTACTGACAGATGCAACAATATGGATGAACTTGGAAAATAATACTATGTGAAGGAAAACAAATACAAAAAGCTGAAGATTATAGGATTCCATCTACATGAAATATACAGAATAGGCAAATCTACAGACACAGAAATCAGATTACAAATTGCCAGGGGCAGGGGAGAGAAGGAACTTGCTGGATGGGTGTGGGTTTCCTAGTGGGGTGAAGTGAATGTACTATGTATACAATGCTGAAGTGTAAACTTTAAAAACAGTGAATTTTATGATGCGTGAGTTATACCTCAATTTTTTTTCAAAAGTGGTTCACAATAAAAAGTTTAAAAAATTAAAATCTGGAAGGAAATTAAAACTCAAATGTAATTGTGGGGTCAGGCTATGTTGGGAAATATCTCTGGTTTAAAGCTGAGTGAAACCAGATCTTACCAGTGTGCCTAGCTGGAATCACAATGAAGCTAACGTTGTTGCACACTGGAAACAATGAAAATGAATGCCATGATTTGATAAATGTTGGTTTGTTGGGGCGACTCTAACTTTGTTTTAATGTTTATGCAAGAATTAAAATGAGTTTTTCAGAAAAAGATATAAAGTATCAATACAAGTTATGACATTGATGAACTTTGGAAACACTATGCTAAGCACAAGGAAAAGAAAGGCCACATGTGCATATTGTGTATTTAGATATCTAGTGCTATTCTGACAGAGGAGCCCTGCTGTGGCACTATGGGATAAGTACTGGACTGCTAACCACAAAGTCAATGGCTCAAACCCACCAGCTGCTCCTCAGAAACCCTGTACGGGGTAACTATGACTAGGAACCGACTCCATGTCCATGGCACTTAACACCACCACCCCTATGACAGAAATCCCACAAGTGGATGGCTTTACCAAACAAATTTATTTACTCGCAGTTTAGGAGGCTACAAGTATGAATTCTAGGATTTGGCTCTACAGGAAGGCTTTCTGTGATGACTCTGGAAGAAGATCCTTGTCCCTAGGCACGTGTGTATAGCTTTGGCAGAGGATATTTCTACATATGTATTTGTGTGTGCTGCAAATATATCCATGATTGCAGGAGAGAATACAGAGGGCAAAGTTATGAAAATTTCCTAGCCATAACTAAACACCTTAATGGGAATGAGTCACTAGGCTTGGGAGCTTAGGACCATAGTCTCCAGGCACAGCAAGTCAATTGGTGTAACACAGTCCATACAAACAATATTCTAGATGCTGCTTTGGTGAGCAGCCACTGGGGTTTTCATTGCTCGCAGACATCTAAGATACAACTATTGGTCTATCCCCATCTGGAGCAAAGAAGAATGAAGAAAATCAAAGACTAAAGAAAACAAGGAGTCCCACAGACTAATGGACCATGTGAACCTCAGCCTCTACTAGCCTGACCAGAAGAACCAGATAGTGTCCAGTGTCTGTAACCACCTACTCTGATTAGTATCCCAACAGAAGGTCCTGGACAGTAAAGGAGACAAAATGTAGAACAAGATTCAAAATCATAAAACTGACCAGACTCACTGGTCTGAAAAATGACTGGTGGAACCTCTGAGACTACCGCCCTTATGCACCCTTCAAACCTGGAACTGACCCCACCAAGGGGACCATTTTGCAGCCAAACAGTAGGCAGACCTAGAAAATGAACAGTAATACCCAGGGAAGGAACATACTCCTCTGAACAATCAACCCCATGGAACCATAAGAGCAGAATTCATCCAAAAACAAAACTCAGAAGGCAGGAAGGAGCAGGAAAGAATGGGGAACCCGGGGAGGAAAAGGGTAGAGTGCCATCATATTGCGGGGATTGCAATTAATGTAATGAAACAACAAATGTATAAACTGCTGAATGGAAAGCTAATTTGCTCTGGAAACATTCGTCCAAATCAAAATTTTAAAAACGCTATTAAT